CCCTACTCAACCCATCATCGTATCTCCTCTCCCTATCTCTTACCTCTTCCCGATGATGTCTTCTACCGTTGTACTTATCATCTGCCTTGTCCTCAGTGTCACGAATCACGATCATCTCCGTGTAGTATTTTCTCACCATAACCATGTGGACTTCTCCTACGAATCTTCTCCTTGTCATGACTAAGCTCTCTCTTCTCCCTCTTGGGACTTGCAGCTATATCACCCTCAAAGACCATATCATAGCCTTCACCTCCCCCGTGCTGTCTGTTCTGATCTTTTACAATAAATTTAGAAGGCTGATTACCACCCACACAGTCCTTGGCAACATGGTCCGTCGAGCCACATTTGAAACATCCATTCCCTGTAACCATTTTGCAGACAAGTACCAATTAGTTTCTCAGAGTTCCGTATTTTGCCAAGGATTTGTATCGCAACAATTTCAATAGTTGTTTGGTCTATGGCATTAATACTCGATAGGGAGGTAAAAATTATTTACCTTTACCCTTCTGTGAGTCTTTCTGCCTGAACTATGACCAAAGTTTGGATACAAATCCACATGTATTCTTCTATCATCGATCAGAGCATTGTCCATCTGTAAAGCAACAAATTGGTTAAACCTCCAAATAATCCATTTCACATCTTAACTATGGTACTATTTATACTTGCTAGCCATTGGATGTTTACCTTAAAGTACGCTTGTTCACTTGCCTCCTTGTCCTCAAAACTCTCAATAAACACGAATTTATATAGAAAAAACATAGAATCTACTCACCTATAAAAGCGTAGCACAAACTGTCACCTGTCTTGAAATCCCGGATTACATCAGCCCTGCCATATTCAGACATGAAGATAAATACACGATATGACAGTTCCGAAGCGTGAAAAAATGGTATGGAGGTCCTCATCCTACATGGGACGAGAGAAAAAGAACAAACTGTTACATACGAAAACACGGGAAGACTTTGCTTTTAGTTTTAGATATCAAGCACCTACCTCAGTCACAGGATTAAGTTTGCAGACGAACTCGGCCTCTGGAATATCTCCTATCTGTAACAGCAATACAAGCTCAGGTATTAAACGTGATTGATATAACATCAAGATAGCTATAAGACAGACAACTGAGTGAGTCCCGAACACTTACACTTTCAAGTACAACAGCACTAGAATGGGCAGCTTTTTCACGGATAACCTCCTCCAATTCCTGAGCACCAAGTTGTTCATCCATTGGAACCCAGTCATCTTCAAGTCGTACGTCATCTTTGACCTCTTCCTTGGGGTATCATCCCAGCCAGTTGTGGGGGATCATCGAAAGGATCTTCAAGAATGTATGTGTGCTTGATTCTATAAGGTCTGTTTTTCGCATCAAGATAAGCATCATTTATCCTAGTCAAATCCCTCGCCAATCTCCCCAAAGACCTGAAAAATGGCATATTATAAGTATCTGATATGTACAAAAGAAAGCATAGTAAAAGGAATAAATTTGTGCTTACGGTGTGTTTCCCATCCAGATCATCACAAAGTGTGAAATAGAACTGAAAAAGAAAACCACATGAGGACATACCACACAAAAGTTAATCCACATAACACCGATCTCCTCATCGCCATAAAACTTGGTCATTAAAAGGAAATGGTTTGGCTCTTACCTGCGAAAGCATTGAGATTTTCTCCACCACTGGCCATAGCAACAGTGCCAGTCTTGGAATGTTTTAAATCGAGATGAATCTCATCTCCAAAAAACCGAGCCTGCTCACCATACAGAAGAAATCTGGAAAAATTCAACATAACAAGCACGAGATGGATCAGGAAAGGAAAGTTGACAAATTTATGGGCAAAAAAGGATGCGACAAAGCAGCACACTAGACAACACAGACTAAAAAATGATCAAGCACTATACACATGATTAGAAAGTAAGAAAATGATATCTTACTTGTAGATTGAATCTCCCCCAAGTCCCGTGGCAGTTGGATCACCCGTCTGTGCTGTGAAATCCTTTGGCACAGTGTGGAAGACTTGATCCTAACAAACAACAAAAATAGTAAGTTAAAACAACTTAAGAGATATAAATGTTTTTACGAAGCTAGAAAGTCGCAGAGCTTGAGGAAGTTCTTGCAGGTCAAAGGGCATTTGTTGGAGTACAAATCAATCACTAATGTCCCCAAGGCTTGTCACAATAAGAACTGACATGTCCACTGGCTAATTACAAGCAGATATAACCCAACCAGAAAAGTCATGCTAATCACTTTTACATGATGAATGATAAAATCAGAAACATACAAATACAGTTACAAAGCAGCAAACGGATATCTTGAAAACAATCAGTAGCATCAATGGATTGCAATAAGAACAATAATCAAAGCAGCAAGATCAATCACGAATTGCTCAACCTTAACCTAATGAGGAGAAACGGAACAAAATCGAAACGAAAACAGGAACAAATCAACAATCGGAGACAATAAAAAATCGTCATAGAGGAACCTTAGAAACGACGTCAAAGAAAGAGAGCATATGCTTAAAGAGGGTTTTCTCTCTTCTTCGTGGGCCTTATGAATCCGACAAACCTTAGGCCCAATATTATAACTCTTCTGTTTAATCATTCGTTGAGTTTTTTTAGGAAAAATCAAACTTCAATCATATTTTGTTATTTATTTAGCAAACTACGCACGGGTATATCTTTGCTTTCATTTTTCTTTTTTGATAAATCAATGGTACAGTATCTTCCAAAATCCCATTAACTAATGTCAATTTCTTAGATTATTAACCAAATATAAATTTACTCTATTTCCCAATTCCCACATCAAAATTTGAAAAAAAATTTCCCCCGTTTAACACATAAACTGTAAAATATTTCAAAGAGAAGAGAATATGTAAAGGGTTTAGACTATAGAGCCTTACCATTACGATGAAGAGAATGGAAAAAACCATCATGTAGAAGTTCATAATCTTCATGACGATCTCATGTCTGCTGAGACAAATGCAGAACCCTACGTCTTTTCCTCTTCTTTAGCCGCGTCTTGGTGCGTTTTCCAAATTTGTCATGTATTTGCTTTAATCTTTCTACCCTGAACAAAATAAATAACAAAATTTGGTCTATATATTTGGAGATTCAAAATCATAAATTCATAATTGGAAATGAGAAATCATGATGTTACCTAAAATGGTGTCTCCTTGCCGTAGAACAATTGAGGAAGAAACAAAATCTGAAATAATCAATTTATAGAAATGCAAAGGAAACTGGAAAGACCATTGCTTTTTTTTTTTTTTCATCTGAATTTGAGATATATACCATCGGAGTAAAATTACAATGAACCTGCCAAAAACCTGGTCACCACACAAARCCAAAAAATGGTCACCATCAAGTTTTATGCTAAGAAGACCGGACACACCAAAAAGAAYCGCCATAACAATCATACATAARAAAGTCAAAAACTAAGTCCCAWTCAAGGAGACCCGAGACTTCTGTTCAACCTCAAAGAGATCGTTAAGCCATCGAGGTCCACCTTGAGCAACATATGATTGAGTACGCTCCTGTACCGTGACACTCTTAGCAATTTGTCGAGCACCTTGATTGGAGGAGACATCTTCCAACAACAACTCCCATGTATCCACCTCCCTCAAAGCCCTAATAACCTCAGAAGATTGGTAACGATAAGATGGCCACTCCGGAGGCCTAATAACCGCACCAATCAAATCAACAGCATCCGAAGCAAAGATGATCTTGGAGAACCTAAGGCTAACCATACTCTCAATAG